TCTTAAGAAATTGCGACAGTTTTACAAATGAACTCAGACAATTAACGCATATATAAAATTGTACATATTTAAAAATATCTCTTCTAGAAAAATAAATGTAGGATATGCTAAAGAAAAAAATTAAGCAAAACAAAAAATCTGAATGCATGTCATTATGGAATGAGGAATTTAAAAATTTACTGAAAGCAATAAAAATGTACTTGAATAGTATAAGTAAACCATTTTAAAGTTTTCATTTTATTTTAATTGTTCACCTTAATTCAAATGGGAAGAATTATAATTTATTAGATCAGGAAAGCTAAAATAGTTTGAGTGCAGTCCAAATAGAATACAAGAAACAGCTTGCGTATATGATAATCCAAGGACAACTCAGATGGTGAACTTGAAAAAAAGAAAATAATTTGAAAGCTCCATGCTTTTATTGGAAAGCTAAAATGTATGAATCCTAAATATGTAAAGTTTGGCTGCTCATCCACATGCAACCAAACTTTTCCTGTTCGGTATTGTCACACAAAGGAGCTATCTAAAAGCCCAAGTTTCTGCATTTCATTCCTGGAAGGCCCCTTGGGTGGCTAGCACTGAATGGTGTATTATTAAAAAGAGGCTAGTATCACGTTTCATTTTTAAAATGTGCATGTTAGAATACTGTGTGTGTATAATATATAGAAAACAGAACCTTTCTTTTAAGTGCACTTGGGTTTAAAATGCATTTGGAAAAAAAATGTCAAATATTTATGCCACTGTCTGCAGTTTAAACTGACAAGCCTGTTGCAGTGTGCCTGTAAACTGTACTCTTCTATTGACGTTTCACTGTAAGTCTGTGTTTAGTTTGTAAAATATATAGCCAGTTTTCAGCTGGCTAATTTGTCCTGCAATGGTTACAATGATGTTATATGAGAAAAGCAGATAAGCAGAAATAGCATACCTGTTAGCATAGGATTTTGTTGGAATTATACTAGGCTCTTTGTGGCCTCATACAATACAAATTCACTCTTGACCTTTAAGCCTTAATTGTTTTATGTTTCATACTCTCTACCCATATTGTGCAATGGCATGAAAAGCTTTATAAGCTTTTCCTTATAAGTGTTACTCCTCCTTATAAGTGTTGGACACAGGCATCACATAAGTTGATTTCTATTTATAAGAAAACCTACCAATGAAATTTGCAGAGACAATTTAGACTGATCTGTCCTTTCCCCCTGTGTTTCCTGCAAAACTCTTCCAAAGGAAATCTTTTTATTCATGAGTGGGCATGTTTAGGAACCAGCCTATGCTCTGAAATATCTGAAATACTGAGGAGTATTTCATTTAATTCAGTTTGTTTTGTGTTATCCCATCTTTATTAAATTTATAAATAACTCAAAAATGGTGAATGTGTCTAATATTCCTTCCTCCTGCTTTCTTCACAGCATCTGTGTTGTGAATCAGGCTAAGGGAGAGTTATTTGAAACCCCACAATACAAAGGGATCATATTTACAATATTATTTCATTTAGCCTTCTTTGTTCTAAGTGGAGGTCTGACTTTGAGAAGAGGTCTCATTTCTAAGATTGACATTTTTGAAGAAGCTCGATTGGAATCAGATAATTGTTGTGGTTCTCCTAGCTGGATCATTGTAAATTAGATGCTATCTTTGGTACTATTCGAGGTTTCAAACATGTTTGGTACTAGCAGAACAAATGCTGGAGAATTTACTGCCAAAATACTAAATAGTTTTGGAAACAGCTGTCTGAAAGTTCTTGTATACATGTATGCACTGCAATCTCTCAGGCAGACAACAATTCAGGCTTTTTTATGCGTTTACTTTTTTCTGGGTTTAAAATTTTGAGTAATATTTTTATTTCCAATCATCTATTTGTCGGCAGGACTGCAGTTTTATGCTGAGTTTCTTAGATTACAATTCCAGAACCAAAAGTAGTGTTTTATATGCGTTGATTGTATTCAGAAATTTAAAAAGAAACTAATAAATAGCATATAACATTATACTTGCATTGATTGGTAAAAAAATAACCATGAAAGTCTTAAATCTGTTTTTGAAATAGATATGTTAATGGTAAGTCTAAAAGGTTTTAATTTTAAAGAAATTCATTTTTCAGTAGGTATAAAACAGAATACAAGGTTTGCCTTATTTGAATCAAGTGATCTTCCTATAATGTGAAACTAATTTGCAGACTCATTCCTGCTGATCCTGCATAGGTGATCCTTCCAAGGTTGAGTATTCTGTTTGTAGGACTGTATGATCAGATAACTCTGTTCTTGCTGATTATTTTGAATCCTCTATGCTTGCAGTTTCTCAAAGAAAACAAATTAATTATGAGATGACTATTTAACAGATCTACAGTTAGCCTGAGAAACATTAATGTAAATAGCTGAGTCGTAACACATTCTTAACATGATTACATTGAGACACTTACATAATTTTTAGCTCGAAGTTTGCCATAACTTTTTAATGAATTTCAATTTCAAAGATATATAATCCCATAAGGACACTTAGATAATAATTTTTTAGTTAGAAGTTTGCCATAACTTTTAAACAAACTTTAATTTCAAAGATATATAATTGGCTTCGAATTTATGCCAGCTCTGTATTTGCTACACATGTCTAGTTTTATGTAGGAAACAGGACAAGATTTATCAGTGCTATAAGGAGAGGGGCAGTATACACTATTTGTTCTGCTTCACTATTGAAATATAATTTATCATTGTACATGCTAAATGCTAATATGATACTTTTTTTAAAAAAACATCTCATTATTTTCTCCTGAATAGTGGATAAGTAATTAACAAAAGGTTAAATAAAACTAAAAAGGAAATTGAAAAATTGCACTGCAATTAATATACAGAGACCCTGCTCAAATCTATGAGCTAAGATGTTCCCTGAGTAGCTTTGCCCCAGAGGCTCTCTTGGAGCCCAAGCTACTTTCCAGGGATGGTGTTTGAGGGATAAAATGAGAGGCAGGAACCCTCTGTTGCATTAAGCTCCTGAAAGAAAGTCAGAATTACATTTTTGTTGTTTTTAATGCTTTAATCTTTTTACATTTGTAATTTTAATATGATTTTAGATGTTGTTTTAACTCTTGATTGGGAACTGCCCAGAGTTGGTTAGAAGACGAGCAACTAATGTTATAAATGCATTTCCCTTCCAAACTGAAAAACAAATAGTTAAAAAAAACTTTGATTCTTTTATTCACAACATTTGTGTATGCCACTTTAATGATTAGTCTTGGATCATAAATAAACATACGGTACCCATGTGACAAACCAGCGCACACATCAAAAGCATGTGTGAATAAAGATTTGACATGAGATTTAAATGATTAGCAAGTCAGATTTGTGTGGGTCTTATTCTACATTTCTCTGATCTCCGAAATGAAATGCTCTCCTAAAATGTAGGCATTAGACATATTTATCTATGTTCACAGAGATCGAGACCAACAAAGCACTTAAACATCTATAACACATAGTTAAAATATGACCCCATTGCATCTTTTGCCAATGTATCTTCTGTCCTTATTGATAGTGTTCCACAGTACCTGACCCAATCTTAAAAAGCAATCTGACTTGAAAATTCTCATAAGGAAAGCCTCATTTCAAAGTTGAAAGAGCTTCTGGTAGTCTTCCAGAACTTCTTTAGGAATTTTACCTTAGCATAGGTGTCCAAGATCAAACAAATGTTTGGGACTGGAACATTTCAGCCCTGGAGCGGTTTGCCCACCTCTAATACATTCACAGAAAGAAAATAGATACTATAATAAAAATATTGGTGTTTTCTGGGAGTATAACCTGCTGTTTCTGCGCTTATTCTATATACTTACAATTGTTTGATAATAAGCACATCAGAATAATTTGTAAGGTACCTAACCATAAAATGAGTATAACTCTACAGTTTAGTTAATGTTAAGATTCTGCAGAAATTCATATTGATCTAAACTAATGAAAAGACATACAACATTATGAAAGTATTGAAATTAAATTTGAGTATTTCTTATATGAACTAGGAAAAAAATGGATTGTTGAATTTGATAGTACATTTACGATGCTCAAAAAAGAATTAGGTTTAAATAATAAGATTTAGATTTTAAGCACTTGTTTCTGTTTATTGAAGGAAAAAACAAAAGAAAACAAATAATTTTATGAACATATTTAATTTATATCCCTTCATTTATCCAGAGACATTAGGTCAGTTTCCCATCTTAATGATGACATCTATAAACTAGTTTAGCTATCAGAGACAGAAATGCACAGGGCAATTTGAGATGAGATCCTGGACATTCCACATGTGAATTTTAATCAAGGCAATTGTTTAACTCGGGTAGTAGAAAAACGAGACATATTCATAATTAGAACAAGATTTAACATCTTCTGTTCAAACTCATTTTGAATTAGCAAATTAGTAGAATAATAAATTAATCTTTAGTGCATGCATTTAGATGAAATTGAGCATCCTATAATTGAAAATTACTTGTACAACTGCATTTTCACTCCTTTGCTTCCACTACCTGAAGTTCTGTTCTCTATAATCTGTGCAGATTTCACATTGGCTTCTCATATATTATTTGATTTATTGTATATATGTCACGTAAGCAATGTAAACTATTCCTAAAATTCATTTCATGACAGGTAATTTATTTCTGTTTTCCAAATAAAATTCAATATGGTATAGATCAAATGAAGAATGTGAAATTGTACTTCTAGGAAAAAAATATTTGCTGCTGTTGAGCAGTTTGTCTTTAGCAAAACCTTTTTCATATGTCCTTAGAAAACACATCAGCTACTGTCGTTCTGTTTGTTTTTAATAATCTCTCTCTCTATATATATTGCTTTCCATATGCATGTTCTGTTTTTAGATAACTTCAATGGATTTTCCATTAAGATTTAATTTTCTCCTAGGGTTAGATCTTGAATTTCAGGAATGTCAATGTGGTATATTTTAGTAAGTATTAAACTGTGAAGAATGATCTTATAGACTTCACTCATTTTCTTACTGTTTTATTTTAACAGGAGGAATGTTTCTTGAATCTAGAAGCTCCTATTACAAGAGTATGTGGTTATGACACCCCATTTCCTCACATCTTTGAACCATTCTATATCCCAGACAAATGGAAGTGCTATGATGCAGTTCGGAAAATGATTAATTATTGATGTCCAGGTGAGAAAAACTTCCCAAAGTAATTTAAGTCTAAAACACGCTAATCTAGAAATATCACAATACTTTCTGTGGAATAAGTCCCACTAATGTGGTGGCTGAACTATGTATAGGAAAAATGGTAAGATTTTGATTATTAATTTAGAGCAGGGCTGTCAAACTCCCGGTCCATGCCCTGTTTAGTGAAAGGAAAGAAAGTCCCAATACGTCACATGACACCTCTGATGATGATGTGAGTTTGACACCCCTGATTTAGAGAGTAAATTGTAAGCACAATTGATAGGTTTACAATCAACACTTAGAACAAGATCGAACAATTTCCCCAAGATTGATGGCTACAACTTGTTCCTCCAAAGGTCTGGAAAGTCTGTAACCATGTCACCAAAAAGATGATGATGACTGAGGGGGGCATTGGAGTGTTTTTGGAGGGGAATTTTAAGAGTGGAAATAGGACTGAAAGATCCAGAGCATCATTTCAGGTGGTGGTTTGGATGCAGAAAGATTTGGGGTGTTATTTTACTTTCCATTTTCACCCTTAGTTTTAGCAGGAGAAAATGCAGTGAGATCTCAGGTTACAAACTTAAACCTTGATTTGAGCTGTTTGTGTTATTAGACTTACATTAGAACTGCAGTATACACAGTTTTACCAGTAGATGCTATGTTGTTTAACACCAAATATAGGAAGAAATAAAGCTGGAAGTGCCTTATTTATATGAAAAGTAAGTGAATTTCAGCTTTCCAGATATCTCTGATAGAGGTCTTAGCATACTTCATCATTGAACACATGACAGACTGGAATTGGTCAATACAGCAACATCTGAACTACCACAGGTTGCCTACCTCTCTTTAATAAAAATATATAATTACTTATCTCCTTGTTGAAAATAATGCGTAGAGGTTGGTATATAAGAACCTTTCTAGAAAGAAAAAGCATCTTTATTCCTAGATTGGCTTTCATAGCCTAAGTGGAATCTAGTGGAAAGCAAGCAGCAGTCATAAATCAGGAAAACCACTCAACAGTTATTCTTGCTCATAAAACCATAAATCAGGATCTAATTCTTCATATTGGTTGCAAGAGGTCAGGCTGTAGCACAGGCAAAGCTCCCAAAAAAACAGTCTTGAGTACAGTAGTCACGTTTCACAGTAGACTTAGTCATAATTGTTGGGTTTATTCTGGGGATCAATACTTCAGGCAGCATTTTCAAGATAAAGCTGTCATAGAAATAGTTTCAGTGGAGAATCTCCCATGTGAGTTGGTCTTAAGTACCCAAGCCTGGATTTAATGGGTTCAGCAAAGCTTTGGTTCCTCTCAAGTACCTTTCCCTGAAAGTAACCATTACTTAACCTTGCTTTCTTCTGCTTTTTCTCATGCCACCCCTTTTGCTTTCTTTTGTAGCAGGGCAATATGCTTCATATTAAAATTAAGAATGGTATGGCTTATTTCTGTTTTTTCTGATATTTCTCAACATGACCTGGGTGTCCTTGGTTTCTGAGTTGACAATTTCATCAGCTAGCTTATTTTCTAAGGAAGAAGGTGAATCCACTTGGGCCCACCCTTGCGAATAGAGTGGTTGGGGTAAATGTCAATGGAGATTCTCAGTCATCCAGGTCACAGTTGTCCAAAAGGTGCTTTTTCAAGAAGCAACTGGACTTTCTGGTTTTTCTTTGAAAGACATTTCACTTTTCATCCAAGAAACTTCTTCAGTTCTGACTGGATGGTGGGGAATGGAAGGATTTATACTCCTTGCAGACAGCTAGTCATTTTCATTCTTTTAGCGAGATAAACTTCCACGTGACCTTAACAAAAGAAGGCCAGTGGCCAGCCATCTGCATGGAATATAAATCCTTCCATTCCTCAACATCCAATTAGAGCTGAAAAAGCTGCTTGGATGAGAAGTCCAATGAGAAATGTCTTCAAAGAAAAAACCAGAAAGTCCAGCTGCCTCTTGAAGAAGCACCTTTGGGACAAATGGTTGGGGTAATTTAGAATTTCCCAAAGGACCAATCCTATTCTTTCTCTCTCTGTCTCTCCCTCCCTCCCTTTCTATTCTGTCTCTTCAATTTAACTTAATTATTTGTCTTACGTTTTTAACCATTACCGCTCCTTTACTTCCAACTTCCATAATATTATGAAGAAAGGGTCACCAGAATCATGCACTACAGACCCTTTAGACTGAAGGGTTATTTGAACTCAATAAACAGATCCCCCCCCCAAAAAAACCCCCATGGTGGTACTTTGGTTATGAAGCACCAGAGTAATAAACAATTGCACGAAGCATTGCGATGAAGTAAAAAGAGACCTCAGACATCACATATCTTCAGTTATTCCCAGTTATATTGTAGATTGTTTTCTCAACTGTCATGAGTACACAGTGCAGGGAAAGGATGCATTCTCCATTGCCACAGCCAACATGTTGAATAGTGGCATAAAGAATGAGAAATAATTGAACTATTCAATGAGGCACAGGAGAAAAGTAGAATTATTCACTGAAATGTCTGGTTTAACATCTGTAAATGTCATGGAGAGGATTCAGCCTGCCTGTTTCTTTCAGAATTGTTCTTGCAGAATAAATATTTTGGGTCTACCTTGTGATCTCCTTCCCTGAACCTATTAAAAGCTACAATACAAATATGAATTTATAATGTTTTCAAAATATGCACAAACTTTTGTGATAAATAGTAATACAGTGTATTCCCCATTTGTGGGTGCCAAGGAATGCCTTACAGTTTCTACAGGTTGTTTGAATATTATTAGAATTATTAGAATGAGTTAAAGTTTATATATATATATATATATATGTGCGTGTGTTTATATGCATATGCACACAGACATGCCAGTTACGAGAAAAGCAATTGTGTCTCAATATAAAACCATTTGCAATGTGCTTGAAATTGTTTTGTGTAATTGTCATTAAGGGCCTTGCTAGAAAAAAGATTATTAAATATTTTAGAACATTATTCCGGCATTTGTGATATATGTAAAGATAATCTGTGATATTAAAAAAAATTGCATTCTGAATTTTTGTCAATGTTTTTTTTCCCATTTCTTCAACAAAAAGAAATAACACCCACACACAAATTTATCTTTAAGGAAATATTGCAAAGTAATGTTTAGCAGGCCCAGCCAAGGGACAGTAGTAGAAACTTAAGAATTCTAATATTATAAAAAAGGATAAAATATTTGCTAAGGCAGATTATCTACCAAGTAGGCATGGCTACTTTCCCTCCTTATAATTAAACCTAAATTTGGATTGATGTGACTCTCTACTCCAGGGTTTCTTCAGAACAAATGCCATTTACTGTGGAGATGCAGAAAAACTCTGGAATTGAAATGTCTTTATTTACTTTGCCATTTTTAAAGCTTGGACAAGGCGTGAAAAGATACAAAAATTGTAATAGCAGGATTTATTTTTGCTAGTTTGCTTTATGTGCTTTTTTTGGGGGGGGGGAGCTCAAAGACCTTGATTTCGGGGGGGGCACAGAATGTCATAGTTTAGTTCTTTGATCATAGAAGGCTTTTTTTAAAAAAATTGTTATATAGCTTACAGTTGTCTGCTTGGTCACTTCACAAGAAGATGAACCCATAATAACCAGAACCTTTGTAACTAAGCTTGAGGATATAATGTTCTTATTTGTTCCCCATATTATTAAGAATATGTCAGAAAACAATGCATCTTCATTTAGATAAGGGCCTGGTGGCTCAGCAGACTGATAGCATTGTGATTAATACCAACTGTCTGCAATTACTGTAAATTCAAATCTCAACAGGTTGACTCAGCCTTCCATCCTTTCTAAGGTAGGTAAATTGAGGACCCAGTTTGTGGGGGCAATAAGCTGACTTTGTATAAATATACAAAAGTATGAAGGCTATTGCTTAATGCATTGTAAGCCGCCCCGAGTCTCCGGAGAAGGGCGGCATATAAATCAAATTAAAAAAAAAAAGTGTAACCATCCTTATAAAGTAAATAGCCAGTAGAAGAGAATATTCATAGCTCAGGGTTAAAATGTGGCATCCAAGGCGCTCTTTGAGTTTGGCTGTTTTCTCGCAGACATTTCATTACCCAGCTAGATAACATCATCAGATCTAGAAGTCCATCTAGGTGTCCCTTACAAAGCATTGTATACAGATAAACATGCTTTTGGATTTTGGCAGTGGTAAATATGAGATGTAGAGTATACAAGTCAGTCCTATAGGTTTATATAAATTTACTGTATAGCTGTAGGTACAAGTTTAAGCATCTCCAATGAAATTATATATTTCAGTAAATCCCTCACTCAATCAAAGTTAACACAGGTTCTGTATGGTACAAAGTTAAACTGCACGTAAAATATACACAAATTCGACAGTTTCTGCAAAGTTGTTTGTATACTTATTGATTATAGTTAATTGATCTCAGAACCAAATAAGAAAATGTGGTTATTACTTTGCAAAATTATTACTTTGCAATAAAAAACCTATAACACTGAAAGTTTGGAAAGATGTCCAAACTTTTGCTTCTGCCCTAATTCACTGTTATTATTTGTAATGTGTAAACAACTGTGCACTGATATTCAGGTTTGTACACAAGCATTCAAAGTTGCAGGAAGTTGTTGTGTTTAACTTTCTACCACATAGACATTGTTTCAGATTCTGTTCACTGAAGGATTTATTGAAACTTACAGTATGATTAGGGGTGTTTAAACTTTTGCATGTTAATTGTATTTAATAGCACTTATTCTTAAACAAGAATGCTTGGGAAAGCAAACTAAATAGTTCAAAGTGTTTACTTACCGTAAATGATATTTAAACAAAATCTATAACATATTTTATTTCTGTTCTTTTAAAGGTGAACAAAGAAAGAAAATTCAACTGCTATCTACAGAATATTTGCAATTAAACTTGGGCTTATTTTGTTTTATCTTTATCGGGAATAACCATTCAAGATTCTTTTCTGGATACTCACCTGACTAGTCATCGCCAAAATTCTATCAGGTGTGGAGTTTAATATGGCCATGTGATTGTTGTAAAATATTTATTTTGATTCTTTCCCAATTTTGCACATGAGACTGCTAAGTTGTTTTATCATGCAAATCAAGGCTCAGGTTGAACTTAATAAATTGTAATCAAGAGACCTGTGGTCTACTTTTTTGCCTTAATTGACAAATGTATGTTACAGTTTTTACAGTAGACTTGTTATATATGTATTGATCCTAAATACAGTAGATTGTATATATCATCATTGGTTATTGTATTCATGCAGATTGTCTGGGGTTCTCCAAAAATCACTTGGACGCTCAAGGATCCTCTAGTATAGATTGACAATACATTATCAATCATTATGCATTATGCATTAATAAGAAGAGTAAGAAAAATTCTTTCATGTAAACTGGGGTGTCAAACTCAATTTCATTAAGGGCTGCATCAGGACTGTGGTTGACCTTGGGGGGGCCGATTGGGTGGGTGTGGCCAACTGGGTGGGCGTAGCCAGCTTGACACCACTCTCCAAACTGCTGGCATGTTTCCTCTTCGCACTGGGTAGACCAGGACAGCCCCACGGGCCGGATCCGACCACATCATGGGCTAGATCCAGCCCACGGGCCTTGAGTTTGACACCCCTGGTGTAAACAGATGGCTTGCTTGAGAGGCTGAATGTGATCATAGTCTTTCTGAATCTGACCGAACACTGGTAAGATCCCATATTAGGAGTTACCTAGTGGCGATAAAAGCAGCAAAATGTACTCATTTTGCTGCTCTTATTGCATCATCAGATAATCGCCCGGCCACCCTGTTTAGAGTGACCCGCTCCCTGCTCCACCAGGAAGCGCGGGAGGACCCCTTGGAGGGAAGAGCCGAGGATTTTGTTCAGTATCTGTATGACAAAATCACTCAGATTCGGGCAGGTCTGGACTCTGACAGGATAGATCCAGCGAGGGTGACGGAGACAGGTCTTGAGACTGTTATCTGGGATGAGTTTGATCCTGTGACCCCAGATGATGTGGACAGGATTCTGGGTAGATTGAACGCGACCACATGTTTGTTGGACCCGTGTCCCTCCTGGTTAGTGCTGGCTTCCCGGGAGGTGACGCGAGGCTGGCTCCAGGGGATTATAAATGCTTCGTTGGGTGAGGGTGTCTTTCCCGCCGCCTTGAAAGAGGCGGTGGTAAGGCCTCTCCTCAAGAAGCCTTCCCTGGACCCGGAAGTATTGGCTAATTATCGTCCAGTCTCCAACCTTTGCTTCGTTGCGAAGGTTGTTGAGAGTGTGGTTGCGCAACAGCTACCCCAGTACCTGGATGAAACGTCGTATCTAGATCCGTTCCAGTCGGGCTTCAGGCCTGGGTACAGCACGGAAACGGCATTGGTCGTGTTGGTTGATGATCTCTGGAGGGCTCGGGACAGGGGTTGTTCCTCTGTCCTGGTCCTGTTAGACCTCTCAGCGGCTTTTGATACCATCGACCATGGTATCATGCTGCACCGGCTGGAAGGGTTGGGGGTGAGAGGCACCTTTTTACGGTGGTTCTCCTCCTTTCTCTCTGACCGGTCGCAGTCTGTGTTGACAGGGGGGCAGAGATCGACCCCGAGGCCCCTTATATGTGGGGTGCCGCAGGGATCGGTTCTCTCGCCCCTCCTGTTCAACATTTATGTAAAGCTGCTGGGCGAGATCATCCGTGGTTTCGGGGTGAAGTACCATCTGTACGCTGATGACACCCAGCTGTACATCTCCACCCCGGACCACCCCAACGATGCCCTTGAAGTGATGTCCCAGTGCCTGGAGGCCGTACGGATCTGGATGGGGAGAAACGGGCTCAGGCTCAACCCATCCAAGACCGAGTGGCTGTGGTTTCCGACGTCCCGATATAGTCAGCTGGCGCCATCGCTGGCTATTGGGGGCGAATCATTGGCCCCCACGGAAAGGGCTCGTAACTTGGGCGTCCTCCTGGACTCACGGCTGTCTTTAGAAGAGCACTTGACGGCCGTGACCGGGAGGATTTTTCATCAGGTTCGCCTGATTCGCCAGTTGCGTCCCTTTCTAGATCGGGACTCGTTACGCACAGTCACTCATGCCCTCGTCACCTCTCATCTGGACTATTGTAATGCTCTCTACATGGGGCTCCCCTTGAGGTGCACCCGGAGGCTCCAACTGGCGCAGAGTGCGGCCGCGCGGGTGGTTATGGGAGCAACATGGAGCTCCCATGTAACACCTCTCCTGCGCGAGCTGCACTGGCTCCCGGTGGTCTTCCGGGTGCGCTTCAAGGTTTTGGTTACCACCTTTAAAGCGCTCCATGGCTTGGGACCTGGTTACTTACGGGACCGCCTACTACCATCAACAGCCTCCCACCGACCAGTACGCTCCCACAGAGAGGGGCTCCTCCAGGTGCCGTCGGCCAAACAATGTCGGCTGTCGGCCCCTAGGGGGAGAGCCTTCTCTGTGGGGGCACCGACGATCTGGAATGAGCTCCCCCCAGAGATACGGAGGATTCCGGATCTGCGCACCTTCCGCCGCGAGTTGAAGATGCTTTTATTTCATCAAGCTGGCCTCGCCTAAATCTTCTCCCTTTTAAGTGTAAATTCTAAATTTTTAATGGATTTTAAAATATGGGTATTTTAAATTATGGGTATTAATTCAGCCAAATTTATTTAATTCATTTTATTCGATTTTAAATTTTGTATATCTATGTGTTTTATTTCATGGCTGTGCACCGCCCTGAGTCCTTCGGGAGTAGGGCGGTATAGAAATTCAATAATAAATAATAATAAATAAATAAATAAATAAATTTCAATAATTTGTAATAAAAAAACCCAGACATACTTGTTTTGGGCTAATCTGATCCCTTTTATAAGAAATATGGCATTCTCCAAGACATTTTTGATAGAAAATTTAAATATCAGAGGACTATGTTTATTAATAAGAACAATTATAAATTTAATATATACATATATAGAGAGATATTTGAAGCATTTACCCAAATTCTCCATCACTGACAGGCAGTTGGAATCTCTAATATTATGTTGCTATGTGAAAATTAAACTGATTGATTAGATTTATTCTGGCTGGCTTTATCAGCAATTTGGGAAGCAGTCAGGTCAAACCGCTTCAGAGGCTACCTCATTTGATTTGATTTGTAACTAGCAGCCTAAGACTTCCTCCCCTGTTGATTATTATTGCAAAATTAAGAAATGGTGATAAATTATTAAGCTTTTTGACAAAATGGAATGAAATCTGCATGCATAATAACCCTTGTTAGCAAAGAAAGCATTTGGCATTTCAGACACATAGATCACTCATAGGGGAGACATATCCATCTGGTTCTTTTTTCCATTGTTTGTACTAAAAACTACATGATGATGAGAGATTATCATTCTGCCCCTAGAAACCTGTAAATGCAAATATTTCCTTATGTAAGTAATGTACCCTATTTCAAAAAGAAGTCTATAGTGGTTAGGTAATTTTTGTAAATTAAATAAAGTTTGCATTATTTAATAAGTATTTAATAAATCCTAGGAATATTATTTAATGAACCTAGAACGTTGTACAGTGGGATAGACAATGGGGACATTCTAGAGCAGGGTTTCTTAACCTTGGCAACATTCTGGCTGGGGAATTCTGGGAAATGAAGCCCATGTGTCTTAAAATCGTCCCAAAGGTCTTTTTCAGGAGGCAACTGGAATTCCTTGTTTTTGCTTTTGAAGACATTTCGCTTCTCATCCAAGAAGCTTCTTCAGCTCTGATAGGATAGTGGGGAATGGAAGGATGTGTCTTAAAAGTTACCAAGATTGAGAGACCCTGTTCCAGAGGTTAATGAAACTAGGACTCACAGCATTCTTAGGAATTGGGGCCAATGTTGACAGATGCTGAAAGTTACTATTCAACACCTGGAACAGCATAAATTACTATGCCAGTCTGGAACAGAAAATTGATATCAAATTGAAATGATATCTATGTAACTATAACTAAAATAGTATGGGACAGATAAGGGAGAATGGAAGATGACATTTCTGAGGTAAAACTTCATTTAATAAGAAATATAGACTGAAGCAAAAGCTAAATAAACAAGGAAACTGAGAAAAAGATTTTAGGAAAATTGACAGGAAAAGGTTGGATGGAAAAGAAGGAAACTATCCTAGGAAGACGTGAGAAAGATAACACATTCCCAAATTGATGGCTATTATAATCCTTTTTAAAATGCTTTAAGAAGAGTATTAAGGAGAGAAGTAAGAACAAGCAGGCATCGTCATGACATATCTTATAAAATAATTCCCTGCAGTTAGAACTAGAGCTGTCATGCATAATATGCAATTTCTTTTATCTTTCCTTATTTCAGTACTTTTCTTACATAGAAAACCTGAGGGGAATTTTTGTGTTTTTCTAGACATTTCATCATCTTCTACTTTTCCAAATTGCCTGAAAATTATGACAAGGCCTGAATGTGCTTACAGGAGTTCAGAGTACTATTTTATTGCTAGATAAGAATTTTAAATCTATCCAGAACAGCTCAGTCTGACATACCAAAAACGTGAATACAAAATTAATGGATTCTAGCCAATTCAGATGTTAACCTGGCAGTGTTGATGTGTACTTGTGAGAATATATAGAATAAAATATATGTGAAAGCATAGCTACATTTTTCAAACTTGTAAAATGGGAACCACGATTGTTTTGAGAGATTTGAAACTTGCAATGTATGCAGTATATCCTTATGGAATTAAAAAGAGCTGGGTTCATTGGGTTGAAAACAGAAGCATTAATAGAATAATTTCCGTTTTGATCCAGTTATTACTGGGTGAAAAAGTTCTTGGCTAGATCTTGACTAGAAAATTGAGATAACACATTTTATTCCTTTCCTGAACGTTTTGAAATAAAATTACATTATTACTATTTTTTCCTAAGATCAAAGAAATTATGTGTAACTGTTTTTCATTTGATGATATTCAAGTGGGTATATTATATTATATTATAATATTATATTAGGGTTATATTAGGGTAATGCTAACAATAACCAAGATAAGGCCAGCAAGTTTAAAATAAAGGATCATTAGAGTAGCTAGAAAAATAAATAGAAAGTTGGGTGATTTAAAAAAAAATTTTTTTGGACAAAGCATTCCAGTATGAAAACTTCTCTAATCTCCAGATGA